TCCTCTGCAAACCTTGGGCATGCACACACACACGCCGGGTGTGAGTTTAAGCCACCAGGTCTGGAACTCGAACCACGGCCGGCTACATGGGAGTTCAGCGACATAGCCTTTACACTAACTGCTGGTCCCTTCTTCTGCTTCTTCATCTCCATTTTTTCTGGTTACTTTTCCTTGGCACTCTTGCCTATTCTTCAAGATGTTAGCAAAGGTTGAAATGAGAAGACTAGGGGCCGGTAGGTGATATGATGGTTAAGGGCACTGGACCCCACATGGCCAACCACAGTTTGAGTCTCGGACTTGGTGGCTTGCTTTCTCTCTCTCCCTCTCTGGTCAAATGAAAATTAATTAATTAATTAATCAATTAATTATTTTTAAAGAATGAGAAGACTGATGGTGAACAGAGGGAGAATTGTCCCAGTTCTGTTCTGCTCATCTCACAGCAATCTCAGACCAAAGAACAATTGCGTCATGAGGGAGGAAGGAAATACATGTGATATCCCTTTTTTTTTTTTAAAGAGAGATTTTTGCTGCAGGATGTGTGCACCCATCAGAAAGACAGAGACAGAAAGTGAGAAATCATCCCCCAGGGAGGATGGCCATGCCACAATCCCTTCTCCTCCATTCTCCCCTCAGGATTTTGGGCACACATGCACATGTACCTGACGTGAGTTTCATGCACATGTACCTGACGTGATTTCAAGCCTTCGGGTCCAGGACTCAAACTCAGGTCAGCTATGTGGGAGTCCAACGATGTAACCATTGTGCTATCTAGTCCCAATTTGATATGCTAAAGTGAAACGCCTTTTCTTTTCTTTTTTTTGGAGACATTTTTGCTATACGGTGTATGCACTTGCCAGAGAGACAAAGAGAGAGAAAGTGAGAAATCACCCCCCCCAGGGGGGGATGGCCACACCGCAATCCCTTCTCCACGCTCCTCTCAGGATCTTGTGCACGCACACATGCACCCCCGGCATGAATTTAAGCCACCAGGTCTGGGACTCAAACCATGGTCGACTACATGGAGTCCAGCAACATAGCCATTACGCCAACTGCTGGTCCCGTGAAATGCCTTTTCTAACTTAAAGAGTTATTCCTTCTGTTGCTGAGTGAAGGGGAGGTACAATTATACCTCACTAAACTACTTTCAGCATCTTTCAGAAGATAAACTCTCTGCAGTAAAGTTAAGGGCCAGGCCTGCTAGAAAGAACCAGACCATTTGCCCTAGAGTCTTATGACTCAGCTATGACATCCAGTATTTTGAATGTTATTCAAAACACATTGACCTTATTTATTAATATTGCAGCAAACATTCCGTCTTGGCTTCAGTCTCTAATAAGCCAAGTTAAATGCCTTTTGTTCTATTGGACTTATCATTGTCACATATAGACTCAAGCTATTTTGGCAGTGTTAAAAATTCATGGATGGAATAAACATCTTTTAATGCTTTAAGAAGCACAAAAGCAATGTCTTTAGTATTAGCTCAAATGTGTTATAACTTTTTTATTTTCTGGCACCGTAGATAATTAGCTCAAAGGCTCTGTCTACTTAAAAGGATTAAGAGGATAGTTGATATTACTCAAGTATAGTTCCACATAAGTATCTTTGTCGGTTTTGTGTTGCTATAAGAGAATATCTGAGGCTGGGGAACTTATCAAGAAAACATGTTTATTTGGTTCACAATTTTAATGGCTGGGGAGACCACGAAGGAATGTGCGTACAACTGGGGAACTTATCAAGAAAACATGTTTATTTGGTTCACAATTTTAATGGCTGGGAAGACCAGGAAGCATTTTAGCCACACCTGGCAAAGGATTCATGCTGCATGATAGAATGATGGAGAAAAAAGCCAGCAGATGTTTGCAAAGTGTGACATTTGCAAGTGGTCAGGCTTGCTTCAGAACATCTCACTGTCATAGGAACTAAGCCAGTGGAAACTCACTCCTTCCAAGGAGACACATGAATCTATCCATGAGGGATCCAGCACTCCCACCAGGCCCCACTGTACAATACTGCTCCATTGGGGATCAGAATTTAGCAAAGACACTCTCAAACCATTGCACCATCTTACTTCTGGAAGGAGACTTAGTCAGGTTGTTATTCTATATGGAACAAATAAACTAGAATATTGTTGATGTTAACCACTCTTTTTTTTTTCCACTTGATTCTGCTGAGAGCAGTGGCCCATGGTCCTAGATGTACAATAGGGGCCTTAGAGAACTAAAAAAGATCAGTGACTGTGCTCACCTCCAGACCAAATTGAATTCAAGTAACGAGGCTGGGAATGGGGCATCTGCCCTTTTTTAAAGTCCCCCATATATTTAATATACATAATGAGGAATATAAGACCTATAATCTCATTTTCCAACCTCTTTTAATCTAAACTGTCCCTGGATCTTGCAGCATACCATGGGATGTATCTCTAACACTGCCATATTAATTATCCTCATTTGTTCTCTGTTATTTTACACTCTGAATCTAAAATTGGCAAAGGCAGTGAAAAATACATAGAAAATATTCCGAGCCAAAGTTTATTGAGCACTTGTTGAATACCTGTTACACTTCAGATACTATATTTTGCCTTCGGGGGACTATACAAAATTGCTAATACCTTAGCTATCTGAGAATACCCAGTCTAGTAGAGGAGGCAGACATCTATGCAAAGTAACTATGATATAGAGCGAAGTGAAAAAGCATCATGGTCACATCAGGCAATGGATAAGAGTATAGACTTTATTCATAGTAAGTACCTTTTCACACCCACAAGAAGCACTCAAATAAAATATATGACAACACTCAAGCAAGGATATGGAACAATTAGAACTCTCCCCCATTGTTAGTAGAGTGTAAAACGTTACAACTTCTTTGAAAAGCTCTTTCTCAAAGTCTTAACAAAGTTAAATGTATCCCCCATATTATGACCCAGGATTCACATGAGAGAAATGGAAGTCTATGTGCACAAAATGGCTTGTGTTAGAGTGTTTATAGCAGCTTTATGCATAACAGCAAAACCTGAAAACAACCCAAATGTCTAGCGACAGAATGGAGGGAAAAGTGACTTTCTTATACAACAGAGTACTACTATACAATAAAAAAGGAACAAGTTACTGATAAATACAACATAGAGGATTCTCAAGAAAAGTTATTTTGAAGTCAGTAAACAAGACACAGAAGAGTATGCATACCACGTGAGTTCATTTACAGCAAGGGACAATAGAAAAATGTGGGGTTTTTTTGTTGCTGCTATGTTATTATTGTCTTTATTATTGTCATCATTAGTATCACTAAGGGATAGTAGAAAACATTATGGCAATCCTGAAGGATGAAAAGGCATTTTACCTTGGGGATTTCATGAAGTGAATGATATTTACAGTATGTTTTAAATATTAAGATAATTATAACTAGAATTCTTGCAAAGAGTAGCTAGACTTCCAGTGTGGAGCTGCACTCCTGGAAAAGAACTTAAATATAAGACTTTTGCCAGTTAATGTATATGTACATATTAGCCAAGATGTACATAACAGCATGTACCAGGGAAGTTCTGCTTCATGCCATGCTGTTTCCTGAGTCAACTGACTTTTCCCAAAACATTTAGTTATCGTCTCATATGTCCAGTGGAGATGGAAACAGACACAAACTTTGAGTTAAAAGTTTTAAACAACGGAATAAACCATACTGTGGATTGTAAAGATCATCTGATCCCAAAGTAGTGTTCTCCTATGCTTTTTCTATCCTTTAACTGCTATTCTTGGAAGTTAGCCCAAATTCTACTATTTGCTAGTCTTCCCTTGGAAATTCCATAGTGATGATTGATGGGTAAATAGAAAGACAGGACCAACTGGAAGAATAAGTACAAGCTTTTTTAATCCCTGACTAATAATCCTCTATTCCCCAGCTTAAGGCTTTTAGGGGAGCACTCTTCCAAGAGGATCCCCAGTGATCCTCACCTTCTACTATTTATGCTGTTGTGGGTCTACTTCCACATTGTAT